AAATTTAAGAGCTGTGTTTAAAGAGGACTGGTTCTTCGTTATACAAGTTTTCCAGGGGTGATGTGGACCTCTAATCATGGTTGAGCTTGGCTGGTTCTATGTCTTCAGTGAGTGCTCTCCTTCTCTGTGGTAGGCACTGCAGGAGGGGTGTGATAGATTCTGCCCATTTTGTAGCTTTTGTAAAAGGTGTAGTGCACTCAAACAGCTGAGACTTTGCAGGATGGGCTGGAAAGTAGTGGTGGAGTGCTGCTCTGCTGCTTTCAGGGCCCATCAAGATCTCTTGTCAGCAGAGAAATGAACATCCTGAAGCAGCTGGAGTGAAGCCAGGCTCTTCTTGGTCCCTGTTGCTAATTTACGGGTTTATAAGCCAGGCCAGTTCTTGTTGGTTTGTGTTTTTGGTTTTTTTTTCATTTAAGGCATGCCTAGACAGAGGAGTCATGACACTAGGTACTGTACAGAAAAATAGTAAGCTGGAGTCTGCTCAGAAACCTTATGGTCTAGTTAGATCAGGCAGGCAAAGGTTGAGAGAAGGAAAGCGTTGTTCTTCACTGCCTTTGTTATTAGCTGACCTGATTCCATGATAGAAAACCTCAGTTTCTTAACACTTAAAAGGACAGTGACCTCATGAAAGTCACAGGGTCTGATCCTCCATCCTGGTGCCTGTTCTCATGCCAGTGACTACCTGGAAGGCTGTATAGAATTGCACCAGCCTCACGTGGCTGTCCCAGGACCCACGGGGCTGGTGGTGATTTCAGAGTGCTCACCTCCCAGTCACGCTGTGCTTCCGCTGCTCTGAGCCTGCTGCTTAGTTTCAGTCCTGCCCTTTTTCACCAAAAAAGAGCCCCGAACTCCTACTAGATATATACCTCTCCTATGCAGCCTTGCAGAGGATTATAATAGCATAGGTTGTTCTTTTCCAAGCCAGGGAGCTTTTATTAGTCTGTCAGAACTGGGTTATTTTAGTGTCCTCAGGCTGGAATGTATATGCAAAGCCTGTGCGTATGCCAGCAGTGTCACCGGCCCGCCTGTCCCAAGCATCTGGGATTTCACCTGTGGCCCTGCACTGAGGGGCTGTGTGCTTTTTTTCAGTGTGCTGAGAACTTTATTCTGTATTTCCAGTTGTGCTGCTTCCAGTATGATTTGCCTTCCTTGGCCAGCAGTTGTTCATGTCTGCTCCTTGATATTTTTTCCCCAGCATCTTTGAAATCTACACATATGCTGATGATTTTGTGTCATTAATATAAATCTAGACAAGTCTGTGTGACCTTTCACTCCTGTGTCCAACGGGAAGAATTGACCCTTGCAGTCAGTCACAGCGCAGCACTGACTCATACATACTTTTCACAAAAATAATGCGGAAATTCCCCATAGTTTTTGCAGATAGTTTTTTCAGGAGATGAAGTGTAAGTCTTCCATAGCAACACAGTTTGGGAAAACTATGAAGCATGTAACATCAGATAATTAATCTTTCTGACATATGATACATTTTTTATTATTAATATTGTCCCTTTATTTTTTTCTCTTTGTGTATCTTGCTCAAATTCAGCCGATCTGTTTGAATTTCATTTGAGCTCTTGTGCTCTTCAGTCTTATTCCCGCCCTTGTCTGTTCTCCAGCTCCATCGCAAACCTCCTGGGAGCGGGCTGGGATTTGTCCCACCTCCATGACTCCACAGTGATGAGCATACTTTCACTTTTGTGCCCCAAACCGTACTTTATAGTTTTTCTGCATAAGGTAAAATGTGCTGTGTTTAGATATGTGGCACTGAAAACAAAGAAAAAAAATATCCCTAACTTCAAAGATCCTCAAAAAAAACCTAACTGAAATTTGGAACAAGTCAGAGTCACTCCAGTGAAGACTAATAGTAAAACAAAACCACCCAACAGTAATGGCAAAGAAGCTCTTTTCCACTGAGATGTGACTGTTATAAGGAAATACTGTTTCTTTACTTTCCTATATTTGATTACTTGTCACTTCTAAAAATTCCATTTATAATTAAAGTCAGAGCAAGTCCTCAAGGTCCCAGTATCAGAATACCTTTCCAGTGATTCCTTAGGGGCTGGGCTTTTTGATCATGTTCACTGTAGTGGAGCCAAGGGAAGCTTTCTTAAAAGTATGGAAGTGACTAAATGCTTCTCCTAAATTATTATTTTTCTTTAAGGCAAAAGATGCATATTTAAAATCTGTAAAATAAATACAATGAAATATCTAGACTACAAGATCGTGTCAAGAGTGAATCTGACCCATTAGCTTGGTAGCTTCTCTGCCATCAGGATCTCAAACCCCCTTTTCTCCCTCTTAGAAAAATCTGAGATTTAATCTTATATCCTACCTGAAAGTGTCCTTTAAAGCCAAATATTTAACATTCTAAGATTTATAGTGATTTTCAGTCTTAGAATAAGGTGGAAAAGTGAGGTCATCTCCAGCCGGATCCTATATCTGGGTTGTTGAGATGTATTGTTTTTGTTCATATGGATGCATTGTGGTGTGCATATTCTAATGAATGGAGTAATTTTTAGCATAAAGAAAATCTATGCAGTGGTGGCAGTTTGTTGTCATACAGCTGTGCTCTTCCTTCCAGTAAACTCCTTGGAGTTAGTGAGCATCCCTGGCTTAACGTAGGGGGAATCTGAAATAGCTCTGTGGAAGCTCAAGTGTTTGTGGAAAGAGCTGTTAATCTTTGATCAACTGGAGTCTCCTTGTTACTGACTTTGATTACACAAGTGTACAACTTTAATTACAGCTTTTAATAAGCTTTCATTTCTTCCTAGTCACATTCTTTGTATAGTGGTACAGCTTATCTTTTCTTTTCTCCTCTGCTCCCCTTCCCTCCCCCCCGCCTTTTTATGGGAAAAGGGGTTTGAGGTCATTGCGGGGGACTCAGTGTCCAGAGGGATCTCACTTTGCCCACGGCTCTGCCCTCTACTTGCTTGTACAGTTCAGAGAGCTCTGCCCTTCAGCTGCCCTCCAGAGATCCCCACACCAGCCGCTGCCCAGAAGCTGCTGGTCAGGAGAGGGGGACCAGGCTGTGGGACACCACGTTCACAAATGTTCACTGCTGCATGAAACCACTGAACAACCCTTAGAAAGTCTCCACAGCCAAAGGATGTACTGACTCCTGTGTGCAATTCCTGCTTGTGGGAGACTGCGCCCTTCTCTCCCTTGGGGACGCTGAAATGTGGTGGCTGAAGTCAGAGTGGCGGAGGGCAGCGGGAAGGTGGTGGGCTCCAGCATCTAGCCACGGTGTCTGTTCCACATCCAAGGACCCACCATGTTGGATACCCTCTGCTCTATAGAGAAATGACCTGGTGAAAGCTTTGTGAGAAAGCAGACTTGTAAATAATTGAGATATGGCTGAAAACAATCATAAGGAAATGCTTTTTTTCGCATTAATTGTATTTCAGCTGTGGAACTCATCACCCCACAACATTTTAGGTATGACAAAGATAAATGGGTGAAGAGTTGATTGGATAAATTAATGGAAGAAAGATTCATCAAGGTCTCTTAAACATAATATCCCCACCATTGGGTAACCTAAGACCTGGGGAAGTTAAGTTCTGATTATCAGAAGTGAGAATAGGGAACCACAGGTGCCTCCCTCTGTATTTGGCCTCTGCTGTTGGCCCCTGTCAGTGAGAGGATATGGGGCCAGAACAGCCCAGGGGAAAAGAGTATGACTGGCATGGAAGTCATAAGGTGCAACTGAGAAGTGACTTGAAAGACGTGAGTCAGAAAAAAGTCACAGATGGTAAACAGAGCAATTTGCACGGATTTGACGTTCAGAGGTGTGCTAAAGGAGTATACTTTTAAATTGCCAGTTGTGCCTACGAAAGAGGGTAGCACGGAAAACTGATAGAACAGGAAAGGAAGCCTCTTTTATCTCTATGCATGCATCCCTTCAGCTCCCTTGCTGTGCATGCTATACTCTTTTTGCACACTAATGAAGATCAGAGTCAGAGCAAGTTATGCTATATATCACTCTGCTCCTATTTTCTAATGAACTTGCCCTTAATGGGTAGCTTTCCTAGCTATTCATGTCACGACTGAGTTTCACCTTGACAATAGATCAAGAATGAGGTTCAGCAGCGTGGCCCACCTACTTTGCAGTGCTCCAGTGTGACAGCTGCTTTGCGTCTTCAGCATAGCTTTACTTTGATGCTTTTCCCTGTTTAGAAGAATCTGGAGTGAGCCTTTTGGTAATCTCCAGCAGGCAGAGTTTTTAAACCTTTCTCAAGGGAAGATGAAGATTCTACAGAATTTTTGAACAAATAGTTACTTATGAAGTAAGTGACATTGTCTTTAGAACTGTTCCTCCCACTGGGCTTCAGAGGAAAGCAGCATTTGCCATGCTGGATCTTACCAGTCACTGTTGTAGCCTGCTGCTGTTGGTGCCTCAGGCATGACTGCGGAAGCCTCTGGAAAGGTTATGACAAAATGTCTAGTCTGACCATTGCAGACATGGCCGTAGTTGTTGAAGGGTGTGTTTTCATGCCTCAGAAGCACGCAATATGAAGACTATGTCCTTTGCTCTTACAGGTTCTCTGACACCAGAAATGCTGGGCTGAGGTTCTTCTAAACTTGGCTGGCTTTCTGGTTTCTCAAAATACGCTGCAGGAGTTGCTGTAACATAGGACTGACATGACTGATTTGCTGAATTGGCTAGACAAACTATGGGGGAAAGAGAAACAATAGAATGAGTTCGCTGTGGTGTATATGTTGCCTGACCCAGGGTCATGGGCCAGTGTGGTTGCATCATTTGCTCATTCAGTAGCTAGGCACTACTGAAAAGATCTGTGTCCAGTTCCTGAGAGTCTGATCTTTTGGTGGCACTTTCTGCATGATCTGCTCCAGCAGCGTCTTGTGTCAGCAAGTTTTGCATGTGTTCAGGGAAAGTTCTTCTGCTTGTCCATTTAAAAACTAACCCTATGCCCCCTTTTTCCTCGTCTTGTTTGAGGGGGCAGTGCAATCTTTCTTACTCTCAGCTCTGTCTCTTTTGGCAGACTCGGGGACCAGTTCTACAAAGAAGCAATTGAGCACTGTCGCAGCTACAACTCTCGGCTGTGTGCTGAGCGAAGCGTCCGCCTTCCCTTCCTGGATTCACAAACTGGGGTAGCTCAGAATAACTGCTACATCTGGATGGAGAAGAGGCACAGGGGACCAGGTTGGTAGCGTTGTGTCTGTGTATGCATGTGCATGTATGAAGGGCTGGTCACTGAGCCCTCATGGGGTTTAATTAATACGAGCTCAAACCTGCTACAGGCCACACAGAAGAGAAGCTGCCTAAACCTCTGTGCCTGCAGGGGATTTCCTTTAGTAACTGCAGAGAGCTCATACTAATTATTCTCTCTCTACCCTAAGAAGAGCCTGACATGGTAGTTTCTAAGGCCACATCATTGTAGCTCTTTTAATGCTATTGATCCCAGTCTGTAGCAGAATACACAATGCTCTTCTCTAAGCAGGACTGGAATTATCTTCAGGGTTGAGAAGTGGAGGTGGGAGTTTCTCCGATGAATGCTGAAAATAAAGATTTATATTGGGAAGGGCATAAAGCTGAGGTAAAATTTAGGAGAGTCCAGTTATTGCCGTGAACGTTGTTCTGATGGCTAGAAATATACCTATAACTCCTGGTTTTGCTTTGGACAAGTTACTTGGATATCTGGAGCTGCAGTTTCCTCAGGTGCAGCAAGAAGTTGGTGTAAGTCCTTGTGTGGACCTTGCATGGTATATGGCTTCACTAAGGGTAAATTGTGCCTGACAAATTTGGTGGCCTTCTATGATGGGGTTACAGCGCTGGTGGATAAGGGAAGAGCAACTGATGTCATCTACCTGGACTTATGCAAATCTTTTGACACTGTCCCACACAACATCCCTGTCTCTAAATTGGAGACATACGGATTTGATGGATGGACCACTTGGTGAATAAGGAATTGGCTGGATGGTCACGCTGAAAGTTGTGGTCAATGGCTCAATGTCCATGTGAAGACCAGTGACAAGTGGCATTCCTCAGGGGTTGCTGTTGGGACCAGCACTGTTAACGCCTTGCTGGGGACATGAACAGTGGGATCGAGTGCAGCCTCAGCATGTTTGCCGACAAGGCCAAGCTGTGTGGTGCGATTGACGCTGGAGGGAAGGGAAGGGCCATCCAGAAGGACCTGGACAGGCTGGAGAGGTGGGCCCATGTGAACCTCATGAAGTTCAACCAGGCCAAATGTAAGGTCCTGCACATGGGTCGGGGCAATGCCAAGCATGAATACAGGCTGGGCAATGAGTGGATTGAGAGCAGCCCTGGGGAGAAGGACTTGGGGGTATTGCTTGATGAGAAGGTCGACATGACCTGGCAATGTGTGCTCACAGCCCAGAAAACCAACCATACCCTGGGTTGCATCAAAAGAAGTGTGGCCAGAAGGTTGAGGGAGGTGATTTTCCTCTTCTACTCTGCTCCTGTGAGACACCCCCCTGCAGTCCCGTGTCCAGCTCTGGGGCCCCAAACATAGGAAGGCACATGGGTCCAGAGGAGGCCACAAAGATGATCTGAGGCTGGAGCACCTCTCCAGTGAGGACAGGCTGAGAGAGTTGGGGGTGTTCAGCTGGAGAGGAGAAGGCTCTGGGGAGACCTTAGACTGGCCTTCCAGTACCTAAAGGGGGCTACAGGAAAGCTGGAGGAGGACTTTTTGCAAGGGAATGTGGTGACAGGACAAGGGGTAATGGCTTTAAACTGAAAGAGAGTAGATTTAGATTAGATAGAAGGAAGGAATTCTTTTCTCTGAGGGTGGTGAGGCCCTGGCACAGGTTGCCCAGAGCAGCTGTGGCTGCCCCCTCCCTGGCAGTGTTCAAGGCCAGGTTGGACGGGGCTTTGGGCAACCTGGGCTAGTGGAAGGTGTCCCTGCCCGTGGCAGGGGGTTGGAACTAGTTCATCTTTAAGGTTCCTCCAAATCCAAACCATTCTATGATTCTATGATGATTCTATGATTCTTGAAGAGCTTTGTCTAATGCCTGTTCCACAGCTCAGTGAAGCTCAAGGGAAAAGAGCACTGTTATTTTTGTAGACTTTGGTCAGTCTTTCCTTTGTTAGAGTAAATCCATCTGAAATCCTTGTTTGAAAGGCAAAGGACAGTCACCAGTTCGAAGACTAGAGATACTGCTCATACAGATGTCCTTCTGAACCCCAGGGAGAATTTTGCTAGGGTATGGCTCAGTATCTGACTCACCATTAGCTCAGGGAACAGGTTTTTTGACAGCACCAAACTGCGTTTCTTTTTTTTTGTTTTTTTTTGTTTTTTTTTGTTTTTTAGTGCAGATAAGAGAATCCAGGCAGGGAGGGGGCTAGTGTGCATGGGCACTGGAAGCATGACATGCACATGTGTGCATATACACATGACAGTTTCTGTAAACCATACTGAAAAAAAGCCCCAAAACTCCAGATCTGGAATTATGGGAAGGTACAGCCTGCTCTTACCTCCTCCACTGACCAGGTGGAGTGGAAGGAACGCATAGAATATTTCCCTCCCCTCCTGGGGCTAAGAAAGCAATTGCCATTTCTAAAGGCTGCTTAGCTGAAACTTTCTCTCTTCCTTTTCTAGGATATGCTGAGGGAAGGGTCCTTGTACTGCTTCTACTCCTAGAATATCCAAAGTAGATTTAGTATTGTCCTGCAGTACCATCAGAAAACTTCTATAGTAAAATGCGGCCACTTCTGGTGCAGGAAGCAACAGGTGTTTTACCAGCTTTAAAAATACCCTGAGAATGTTTCAGCTGCCAAAACTACTGGGGTAGTCTGGGACCGCTGAATGTGGTTTACAAGCTGGGAGTTGCCTGAGATTCTGGGCTCACCCTTCTTTTGTAGGTTGCTTCATGACCACAGTTGGGTTTTTGTTTCAGCTGAAAATTCCCCATTCCTAAGAGATTATACTACTTTGGCAAAACTAGCTTGCTTTTTTTTTTTTTTTTTTTTTTTTGCTAATCCGTTTACCCAAGGAATTTCTGTTCTTGTAGCATCTGGTTATGAGTAAGGTGCTGCTATTTTTATCCTTTTGAACGCAGTCATAAGCAGGTATACATCCACTGTATCCACAAGTAATGTTTTGGCAAGAGCATCTGCTACAAAGATAGACACAGATAGTCTTGTATGGGTCTCACTGGTGTCTCTGCACTTGTGGAAGAAATCATAACAGTGGTATGGCACAACACCAGGAACCAAGACGTCTTAATGCTTTGCCTTGCTCAGCCACAAGCTCCCTGGACTACCTTGAGAAAATTTACCATGCAAACCTTTTTCTCCTCACTTCTGATAGTGAACTGTTTGGCAGCTTACCCTGCAAAAGAGGATCTGTGGCATTCCTCCTGCAGGTCTGCAGTGGAGACTAATGGTGGAATATTCTTCACAGAGAGTGTTAAGTGGAACAAGCCTCCTGCATCTGCATTGGCCACCAAATCTGATGCCTTTGTTATTTTGAATTAGAATAATCAGTGTGAAATGAAGCAGTTCTCCTCCCCCATATTTGCTCTCCTCTTTCTTGATTTTTATTAGCCTATTTAGTGCTCCCTTGGGTGTCTTTGCATCATCTATTTCTTGTAGTATTATGGTGGGTCAAAGCATCCCTCTACAGTTTTAGCACGCCTGTTTTCAGGCTGTATACAATGTGCTTATGTCCATACTGAAGGGCTCTGAAAATTCTCTACCAACCACCCTGGTATCTGTCTTGTGTGCTGTGTTCACTGCCATTTACTATCCCTAACCTGAAAAACTGTATAAAGACAAATGGCAGAGCTCCAGGACTTCTTTTCACTTACAGAGGGCTTGAAAAACAGAAAGAAGAGTCAGGATCTCAGCATATTAACCTGGTTTCTTGCGGTCCTCTTTGTTAAAGGAGTCAGAAAACTGCATCTCATGATAAAGAGTTCAGGGTTAATTTCACACAATACTGCACATAACTCCCTCCTTCTTTTCCCCTCCTCCCCCGGCCTTTCACACCAGCTTTGAGTTATGACTCTCCTACACTAATGAGATAAACAACATAACTCACTGCAGGTTCTGCTATTTCCTCTATAAGCAAATGGTTGGAACCTTCTCTGGTTGCCCTATAAGGCACCAGAGGGAGAGACAACTGAGCCAGGGCTGAAGACAGTAAGACCTGTATGTGCATTATTTCCATATGCACTGTGAGATTGACTGTGGAGGGGCTAGATTTGAAGCATTCAGAACTGACCCTTTCCTTGTTGCCCCTCCTTTGTGTAAACAATTGAAGATCCACACTGCATGTGGGCCAATGCAGCGACAGACGGGGGTCAGGGTGAAGAACTGAAGGTTAGCATTTGATGGGTTTGGATCAAGTGAAGGTCTGCTATGTGTTTTATCTTCATTGGATGGCTGTGTATTACTGAGCAAGGGTACTGTGAATAGGAACAGAAAGCTTACTTCAGGAGGTGCAGAGATGGGTGTCATATCATCCATGTCTTATTGATCTATCTGCCACCTGGAGTGGGCTGTGGGTCCTCTAGGGAAGAGGCTTTCCCATCTCTGTCTTTTCAAGGATACCTGCTTCATTTGTCATTGGGCTCTCAGCACTTTCACTGGCCTGGCTGAATCCAGAACTGGTATTTCATATGAGAGCACTCAAGAATTGAACCCACCTTAACAGCTACTCCCCCAAAACTGCAGTAGATCCTTGCTCCTCTGTGTCTGGGACAAATGCTCAAAGCTGTGATGCTTATTTCGTTCAAGTGACTCCTCTGTGGATGCCTATGCAATGGAAGGCTGATTCTCTGTCCTATCTCTTTGGTCTAGCAACCACCATTTCAGTGTTGTGAGCAAGTTCTTACACAGGACCTGTTGTGGAAGGGTGAGGCTTCTTGCCTCCACCTCTTTAATTACTCACATCAGAGCCGGGCACAATCCACCTCATCATAATAGCAATTGTTTGCAGCGGTTAATGTTTGCAAAGTGCCATAAAGAAGTGTGTTCAAATACTGTAGAAATGCTAGTTATTCACATTTTTGTTCCCAAACCAGTCCTAAGCACCCCACTCTGAAATGCGTCCTTCTTGTGGCGGGCATAATGCCCAGCAAGGTGTGCAGCAATGAGAGCAGGGTGTGAAAAGCTCCAGTTCAGTAGCATTCTGTGTCCTGGAACAGCCAGGATCCCTGCAAATACTCCATGGCTCAGCCATACCCAGGCAGTGTGCTGTAGATACTCCATTTATCCAGTAAGACCTTGAGAAGTAGGTGGAAAGTGCTGGGGTCTGAACTGGCATTCCCAACAGCTGAAATATTTCAAAGCAGAAGCTTAGGCTTCACTTGCCGAATTTGATTAGCCTGTTCCCTTGAGGTGAATAGTTTTGTTGTGTCTTTTCTCTTTTTGTTCCCCAAGTAGATAACAGGATATTGGTTTTTTTATTATCCTCATTTGGTTCAGTGAGTCAGATTTGTTCCCAAGCTGGTACACTATCCTGGCTGCTTCAGAGGGGGTGAGAGAGCTCTTGGGCAATCCTGCTGCCCTTGAGCTGTCCTGCTTTACTGGTACCCCCTTGGTGTTGTCCAGCTGTTCACTGTTAGTATAGTTTCAGATATGGTAATACCACTCCTGTCCTCTCTCTTCTGTGGTCTTACCTGTTTTCTAAGGGCAATGAGTCTGGAATTGCAGTCATGCTCTGTAGCCCCTTCACAACTAATAGCAACAGCAGAAGGGCAGAAGAGCCAAAGCAGAATTGGCGGATGGAGGAGGCAGGGGAGAGAATGGAATTCTTCCAAGTGGATGGAGGAGGCAGGGGAGAGAATGGAATTCTTCCAACGTTTCTGTGTCTTGCTGGGAATTTCTGTGTGTCATGAGTATCTGGGGCAGTTGAGGATACTTTGAAGCACTTGGCAGTGTGCTAGTAGAGATGCATTCACAAAGCCGTCCTGTATTCTGAATACAAGAAAGCAAAGCGTAGCTTGAACGTTGGCTAAGGGGTGGGGTGTCTGTCAGGAGAGCCAGGGCAGCTCAGAAGCCAGCGATGTCAAATGTGATTCAGTGGAGCATGCAGTAATATAAACATGCAGTAATATAAACATTACTGCTGTATCTCCTCCTGCATTCACGATGTTGGCATGAGGAGTTAATAACCATCATGAAGAATCAGTCTTCCCACAAAAGTCCAGAATTTAAGCAAAAAAAACAGAGCCCAAATAGCCAGAGCTCATGGATCTTGGTTTGCTCCCATTTGGAAGACACAAATTTCCTGAGCTGCTCTGTGCCTTATCGGGGCCTTATGATTTGCGTGTTGGAACTTCATCCCTTCTCTCCCAAGGGGCTTTCTCTGTCCGTGAAGGAGGCATCGCCCCTGTGACCCAGGAGAGTCTGAAATTCTATTTACCCTGAAGAAATCACAAATTATTTATTGTGCAGCTTTGGTTTCAGTGAGATGAGTGAAGTGTCTAAAGTGAGACCTAGATTCTCTGTAGGCCTCATCCCAAGAGGTGCTGAGGAGCCTCAGGAGCACTGGATGCCTCGAGTGCATAGTTCTGCCTCATGGTTTGTAGGATTGAACCCTCCGACAAGGAGACACTGGAAGGGCAAGAACAAAGATGCTAGAGATGGTGCTCATGGTTTAAAAACTGAAATGTATTTATTTTTTTCCTTTGATCTTCAGGCCTGGCCCCAGGTCAGCTGTACACATACCCAGCACGTTGCTGGCGCAAAAAGAGGCGTTTGCATCCCCCTGAGGATTCCAGACTGAAGCTGCTGGAAATTAAACCTGGTAAGTATTTCTTTGCCTCTCTTTCCTGTGGTGCAGAGCAGCTGGCGTACATTCAAACCTGGCATTTAGACCTTGTATTTTACCTTTGTCCCTCTCCAACCTTTTCTCTTTGCATCTTACTTGGTTTGCTGTAACAATAACCACCAAACCTCTGCACACAACTCATCCTTTACAGAAATGTGTCCAACTTGTATTGAATGCAATGGGAGCTGAATTTACCTTCTATAGGGGTGAATCCTGGCCTCTATTAGCAAGTTCATAAGGATGTAAAGGATCAATACATTACCAATTATTTTCTCAGTGTGTTATTAATATAAAATGTCAATTTGGCATTGGCTGCCTAATCTTTGTGGAAAAAGACCACTCTGTGTGTGGAACAGTACACTGATAAGATTTTTCATAATGGGGCTGGGGACCAGGGGTGTGACCAGTTTATAAACAGCAAATAATAAAAATTAGTGAGCATATGACACACTTGTATGCCTGTATGTGTACCTTAGTCCATTCTTCTTTCATTCTTGTTGTCCTTGGTACTCTTCCCCCACAATTAAACTATGCGAAGTGATGAGTGTGGATGCTGAACGAGTGACTGTAAAGCAGATGTGGAGGAGCTGCAGCTGTGTCAGGTAGAGCATAGTGTTGTGCATTCTTCCCTGCAGTTAGTAATAAAGGCTTACTGTCTTTGGGGTCAGCTGTTATGAGAAAGAGGGAACACACGTTTTCACAGCTGTATGTGGTTTTTAAGAGGTGAGACACTGCCAGTATAAAAAGTACAGGAGAAAACCCCAAAATGTAAATTAAGAATATTTTAAAAACCTGTTTGACAGAAGAAGGTGTCTGGGAACTGAGCTATGCTCAGCAGTACTGATGACTTTGCTTCTGTGCAGTCGCTGGTGAAGAGAGAGGAAGGGGAGATAGAGACACGTTCTAAACCCAGTAAAATCAAGGGGAAATATTCATGTTGATTTTGGTAGAAACAATTCTTGAAGGCTCCCTACCTTCAATATAGGAGATGTCAGCAGATAGTCGGACAAGAGGAAGAAATGCCTGTAACCATTCAGTTGGGGTTCAAACGAATCTCAGCCAGCAAACAGAACCAGACCTCACAGCAGAGCTGTTCAGAAAGGACTGGTGAAATCAGTCAGGTGCACTGACAGAAGTGAGACTGGACTCTAGGAAGGGGATCATGTTGGCCCATAGAAATGCTACCTCAGACTTTGTGATGATGCAAACACTGCTGCAGCTTGGTAGTTTAGTAAGGTAAAACAGTAGTGTAGAGTTCGACTTCTTTGTTTGCATTATTCTTCTTTGCTGTACTCACTGAATGCCAAATTAGTGCATCCTACATGCCACAGGGCATGAAAGACAATTACCACAAACTTATCAGATAAAGAGACCTCAGCATGTCTGTCTCTGTGTTGTTTTCCCTGCTATAAACATCTCTTCTGCATCTCGGGAGTGCTACTTTTGTTGTGTTGCCGGTGGCAGCCAAATAAGGCAAGTTACATTGCTCTGCCATTTAAATCTATTTTCCAACAAATTTCTATCTAGTGATTAACTTTCCTTATTGGTTACACCACAAAATAATTTCACTCCATCTGTGCATATTCAGAACAGACTCACTAGCCAAAAATGGGATTTTTCTCTGCTCCGATCTGAAAGTATAAAACCTATGGAAAACATTGGCTCTCCATTTAAAGGTAGCTTTTGACAATTTGAGAAAGAAGTAGTGTAATTTATTTTCAGGGTGGATGGCAGAAATACTCCATGTTTTGGAGGCAGACACCATGGTAAAACCTAGTGCTGAACCTAGGAAACTACCTTATGTTGACCTTTTTATTCCGCAGTTAAACATTAGATGACTGTGTGGAGAAAAGATGTGGCAATTTAAGATCCCTTAAAAAGCACAGAGATGATAACTATAGGACATCTAAAATAAATTTGGAAGAAATCTAATCTAGATCTTCCATAGTTTCACTCCACCTAGGGCTTGGATATCCTAGTCACGGCTTAGAACTGTTCTCAGCAGCTAGACAGTGCTTGTGCTCAGTTAATATGAGAGCAGCTGATTTTTAATCAGGAGGCTGTTGAAGTGGTTATACGTTATACAACATATGGAAGCAGTGCAATTCTACAACATCGAATAAGGGCTAAACCTTAGTTTTACTATGTTTTCCATTTGTTAACTGTTTAGAATACTTCTCATAAGACTGTCACTGTAACAAACACAGAAGGGGATCTTAACTCCAAAAGCTACCAATCTAGCAGTCAGTGGGATTGGCACCACGGGTGTGAATACTTGCTTGGACTGCATCTGCGCTTTTGGAGTGGCTCATTACAGGGCTAAGTCGCATCCAGATGTTCAAGACTTCTACATAATTCAGGGTATATATAGACCTAGGATTTTTGTTTTGGTAAATCATCAGCTGGTCAGTAAGTAGAATCATACTATTGTCTTGCTAGCAGTTCAAGGGTATAATAAATAATTTATTAATAATACAGTATTTAGACTTACAACCTACTTTTGCAGTGTTGGTACCTTGCAGGTTTAGGTAGTACATGACACAACTCAGTGAGTGAGAGTTTCATATACGGTAATACAAAAACCTAACAAAGAAAATAATCGTGCTCCAATGGTCTCCTGTTTTTTGTAAAATGCAAGTGCACTATAATGTTTTTCTTGGGGTCAGTTGCTGCTTGCTTCTTAATAAAACATGGTGCTTTTATTGTCCTGGTCTGTTGCTTTTATTTGGTTTCAAGTGGAAGTGTTTGGATTTAAGAATAGTTGCAGCCAAAGTCGTAAAGATCAGAACACTGGAGTAGGTGTTGCAGCCTTTAGATGTCCATTTTCCTCTGCCCCTACTCATAGTTAGGTGCATGGATTGCCCTAGTAAAGTTGTTAGATCAAAGGACTAGCAATGTTCATGTGACTTCTATTTCTAATGTTCATGTTAATACTGTCCTCCATCCCATTAGTAGCCTATCCAATAGATGTGCAGTAGAAATAAAGTATTGCCAAAACTTGCTGCTTCAATGACAATACAGTCAATATCATTTCCAGACCTTTAGGAATTACAGTAAGTATTCCTGACACTTACTTTCATATGGGCTTGTCTTCGGCTTTCAGTGGTATATGCATATCATCAGAACCAAGCATTACGGCTAAAGTGCAGTCTAGTTTTCACCGTTGTAATGGATTTGAGCTGTTACACAAGTCATTATAGTGTAGCAGTCAAGACTCCTATGAACAGTGGTATAGATTTGAAACGAATCCCCAGTCACAGGCAATTTATTGACATGTTAATACTGTGATTGCCTAGGTACAGCATGCTAAAGTTATTAGATGTTGATACTCTCATAATATTAATGAAACTAGACTTCTGTTCAATCAAGTATGGGCAAACCTGATTCTCTGCAGAACTGAGCACTTGAGCGCGAAGCAGTGGGAGGGCTGGAAGCAGCTCATGCTTCCACACTCACTCATCAGCTGGCTGTTCTCCTGCCCAGTAAAAGAGGAAGAGCAGAGCAGAGCTCCTGTGTATGGGAGGTCTATGAGTCTGGGAGTGGGTGAGGGAGAGTGTTGGGTTGGGCTAGGTCACCTGTTCTTCCAGAGGAATGGGAGAAGAAGGAGAATTTCCAACTCTCCTACCACCACCTTGAACTGCAGGTGCCGCAAAGGCAAGCTCTAGGGTTCTGGCCCTGAGTAATATCAGAGCAGCTGCAAAGATGAAGCTTAGAAGTGGAAGAGAGATCCCTGATTACACTCAAGGCCCCTTGAAATTTTAATTGCTCCTTGTCCTATATACTTAGTGTTTTTGAGGTACTGGGTGATATGGTTCTGTGTTAGGTCACGTATCAATGTTATGGAAGTGGTATTGCCTACAGTAAACCCTGCTGACAGTCAGGTATTACCCAAGCTTTGCAGCTATGCAGATGAGAACAGATAGGGTGCGTATGGCCAAAAACTCTGGTGGAATTTAAATCAGTAGTGTCCTACTTCAGTTTTACAAGATGGCTAAATATAGAGACGTACATACATGCACACAGAGCTTTTATTTCATGTGCTATGTAAGTGTAAAGAATATCACTGGAAAGCTTTTGTCTCAATTCACTGTTGTCCTTTGGTTTTGGACTGAAAGCCAACAGTGAGGTCTCCCAGCGGGCAGCCTTCTCACCCACTTGGAGGGTGTGGAGTAGAGTTTGTGTGTGCTGCTACTGTGGTGAGAATGAGCTGGTGTCTGCGCTAGTGTCTGTCCTGTTACTTATCTCTGGGCAAGCTAGTGTTCAGGTGAACTACAGAAATGGTGCCTTTTTTTTTTTTTTTTTTTTTTTTAAAATTGTTATTTGTTAGAAACAGGATTTGATTTTGGTAGGTGGTGCCAAAGCAACAGTCCTGCAGTGTATTTAGGTCAAGTGTTAAGCAAATATTAGGTCAAGTGTCAAATAACTCAACATCAAGGAGTGTGGATGATGATGAGCTTTATATCCAAAGAGGCTGCACGACCCACATCATTTTACTGAGCAATTCCACATGGATCCTGGTAGTTTCTGACTGAGCTAGAGCAAATCTCATTTTATTTTTGGCACACCACGTAGAACAACAAAAAAAAACTCAACAAATTTTTGTGACAGGGAGGGTGAATAATTTTCTGTTCTCATCCGATGGGTTACGGTGCCCATCTGCACACTGGCCATGCTGAATCCTGAGGTTGGTCCATCGTGTACCTAACAACATTCCTGTAGCACTTTGAAATAAAATGAAACTTTATATTGTGAATCCAAATCTGGGAGTAGGGATGCTGGAAGCTGTTGGGTTTTTTGTTTGAGTTGTTTTGGGGGGGTTTTGGTTGTTTTTTGGTGTTTTTTTGTTTGGTTTTTGTGTTGGGTTTTGTTGGGTTTTTTTAGGAAATTTCAATGTGTGAGAAAACAGAAACATTCATCATGGCTGTAGGAATCCCTAAACATCCCACCTTCTTTTTTCCTATCTTTTTTAGCAAATT